TAATTTACGCCATCTAGCGGAATTTTATTTATGATATATAAAATATATTATGGGTGTTATATATTCTATATAATAGATTGTTATACATATTATAAATTTATGGACTACAATATCTTTTATATTCTAATTTATATATTTAGATAATTTTAATTTTGGATAAATTTGATTTTTATATTAAAAACTTTCTTTTTTAAAGTTTTTAAAATATAATTGATAGTCCATAAATAAATTTACCTGTTAATTCTCAGTTTAGTAACACCCAAAATACTTTTAATAAATTTATAGTAAATTAATAATTAGATCGATCTGTGGGTATTAGGTAGTGTTAACCATCACCCAATATTATATTAATTATAACTATAATATAATCGTATAAATTTTTATAAAAAATATTAAGGCGCGACCCAGGTTTAACAATCTTAGGCCCGGCCCGGATATGTTTAAAAAATTTTTTTAGGGCCGTGCCTGCAGGCCTCTGATATATACTGTGCTCTAATTTGATACCCTTTTTGTTTTAGCAATAAATCTCTCCTAAAAACAAATTAATTATATATTATAGATTGACAGAAGGATAAATTAGATATTTTTTCTCCATATTTCATAAAATTCTATCAAAGGTCGAAGTTAAAATAATAAACAAAATTCAAACTTTCCAACATGTAAAAATTCGTTTTTTATTTTTTTTATATTCGACAAAAAGATCAACATTTAAAATTAATTTGAGATAAATGTACTACCGATCGATTAGCTGCAACTTGTTTTTTTCTCATTATTTATCTGTGGAGTTATTGTACTATTTGAAATGAACTAACCTCTTGAGAGTATTTTCGTAGAAGTTGTTTGATACTTATCAGATGGGTAATCTAAACAAGTCATTTTTATTGAAAATCATTTTTTTTATTATCATCTGCTTAAATTTAAAGTTTAAATATAAAAAAAAAATTTTATTCGAATTTTATTTGTCCAACTTTAAATGTGCATACCTCTCGACACTGTTGATATAATTGGATGAAACTTAAACTAATCGGTATTCAATTACTAATTTCAAAGAAATAATTGTAATACAAATAAATTCTTTTGAGGAATTATAATTGGTAATTGATTCCTTTTAAAAAGTAATTTAGTTATTTTATTTGATAAATATTAAACTAGTTACTTTAACAACATTATTAATCCTACAATAAAATTTTGAATTTCTTCTACTTATTATTATTAAATAAAATATCCGAAAAAAATTGCTTAAAAAACTTATTTGTACTAATAGTAAAATTATTTGATTTTCCCAAGAACGAATATTAGTTATGAATCGATTACTTAATTATCCAATTCAATTTTTTGGAGGCCAATCACAACACTTCGATTAGTATAGATTACCTTCACTTTTGTTAGAACTTGTCCCTAAAATTTTTATAATATTGGTTCCTATTAATCTTAAAAATCCTTAAACACTCAGAACAAAATGCTGAATGCTCATAATTGTTTCTTAATGCAATTGCTCATACAAGTGCTCAGATTAAAATAAATATCAGGTTCAGAAACTAGTCATTTAAGTGCTAAGAAATATATTTTTTTAGAGTAGTGAATAAAAACCTATAAATAGTGTTGTGAACGCGTTCGTGAACGAAGTTCGTTTTTTTGAAAAAAATGATGAGCAGAGTACCTTTTACTTTTGACGAACTTTGAACGTAAACGCTTTCCTTTATGGCCCAAATATGATAAATATTTTACAGTATCTACTATATTGAAGGAACTAATTCAATAATTACCGAATGTAAAATGTGCCCAAAAAGTATTATATCAGTTTCAAAATCTTCAAATTTCAATTTAAAACGACATTTGATTGTAATATTAATTATTTTATTTTATATTAATATAACTAAGTAAAATCATTAAATTTGAAGAAAAAATGCATTTGGGCTATTTGACCCCAACAATAACTGCGGTCAACCATTGATAGACGATGTATTAAATGGGATGAATAAAAGGTATTAAACCTATCACTATCAAATTAATTACATATATTTTATTTTTTATATGAAGATCAATATGTTCTTTATGCAATTATACATCCAGTATTCAAGCTTCAATGACCATTGAAAAAACTTCCACAGAAGAACCTATAAAAAAATTAACTTAGAGCGTAAATTGAAAAAATGCATTTTAAAACCCTAGAAATGATAATGCAAGAATTGTTAATTTCCAAGTATCCTTTTTTTTGACGAAGAAGTAGAGGATGGATTGAATGAGGATAACTTATCTCAATTTTTTGAAGCAAAGGACAAAGCAATTAATAAATTTCCGACTTTAAAAGAGTTGTTTATTAAGTATAATACCGCAATCCCTTTATCTGCTCCTGTAGAGCGCGTTTTTAGTATAGCTAATGTCTTATTATTAACTGCCAAGCGTTCCTGTCTATCAGATAAAAATTTTGAAAAACAATTGGTATAGAAAATTAATATAAAAAATTTTTATAAATAAAAATATCTTTTTATTCGCTTTATATTGTATTTATAATTATATTATCTAATAAAACTATATTATTTTTTAACATGGCTAATTTATAATGTTAAAAAATATAAGACATTTATTTATATTGATATTCTTTATTAACGGAATATAAATTGAAACCGTTTAATTATTCGCAATACCATAATAAAATTATATTAATGTTTAATAATATAAAAATGAACATTGAAAAGTTATTATATAAATAAATAAAATACGCGATTAAAATTATATAAAATTTATTCTAATCATCATGTGAGATGAGGTTGCCAATGAAGCTGATGTAATTAGCCCTAAAAAAAATTTATGATAAAATTTTGAACGAACAACGCATTACTTTTTTTTGGATGAACGCGTTCGATTTTTGTCAATGAACCTTGAACGCACTACCTATAAAATATATTTAGAACATAACAATGGTGTGGCATTAAGGGCTCGGATCATCATAGCAAATCTTGCCACATCTCTAAGACTTTTTTGAATCTTTATATACTCGAAATCGGCTAATTCATATTCTAAAATTGAATATATGAGAATGCTAATAATTTTAATAATTATATTTTTATAAACGGTTTCTCATAAATGAAATATACTATTTACAAGGGCTGATTTAAAAACTGAATATTTTTATTTGTGAATATAGTAATGGTTAAATAGAATTGTTATAAAATTAAGCATAAATATAATTCCTCGGATGGCTTCATATTAATCTTTTACTAAGATCCTCGATTCAGGTTTATTTAAAATAAAAAATGTCAACATTTAAATAAATTTTAACATATCAAACTAAATCCATTATAATTTCCCTTTTTTAGCTAGTTTCGATATTTTTTTGTAATGGGGTCATTTAATTTTAGGGATAAATAAATTCAGCAAAGCATTTTTGTTTATTTTTTAAATGGTTTCAAATTACATCAGCTTTAATTTAAGATTCCAAATCAAGATATTACATTATAACTGCCTCCCCTTTCCAGCTCGATCATAAATCACCTCTCCAACAAATTAACGGAGTAATCAAAATTTCAGTTACGATTCGTATCAAGATATTTTGCTTAAAAAGTTTTTTACAATCTGTGCACTTAATGATTTATACTGATGTGCATGATTAACATTACAGTGAAAAGATCTTTTTATTATGTTAGAAATTCCTACTTACCCTGGATGCATTGTGACAATGTATCTTTTATACAATGTCGAAAAATTTTTAGATTTAGCCCGCTCTCGCCATGACCTAGACTCTGGTATTACTATTATTGATTTTTTTTTCTAGCATAATTAATATTAATAGCACTCTAAAAACTTTTTATTAGTTTTCATTTAGTACACTGGTGTATTTTTTAGAAAAATATTTTAATTTCTCCCGGACCTATAGTGATGATTATTAATATCACTCAAAAATTGTTCCTGGTTCTAATTCCAACTTTTATGTGATAAATTATCGAGAAGCAATATATTTCTTTGATCTGCATAGATGTAAAATTTTAAAACCTAATGATATAAGATTATGCTATTTTATTTGCTATTTAATTTGCGCTCTTGGAAAAATGGTCGATTTTCGCGTTATTAAATGTTATGCAAGTTGTCGATTTCCTTTATTGAATTTGGCAAAACTGAACCTATTTAAATGCTTCCGACAGTATTTTTAACGTTTTAATTCTCTCCATTCAAAATATTCTTTTAACCAAGGATATGAACCGAACCCGGGTTCAGTAATTTAAAATTGTTTGGTTGGGCATTTTGAAACCACAGACCAGAGATTGATTTATGGACACTCATCGAACCCGGGGGGACCCGAAACGGGTTTGAAATAGAAAATTGTTTTCGATTAACTTCCTGTTATCAAAATTTTCGCTAAATAGAGTTTATAATTCCTGAACATGGGTTCGGGCATACCTGCTTTTAACGGTTCGGTTAAATTTATTTTGGTTTGACACCAGGATTAGAGCCCTTGTAAATTCATTCGATTCGGTAAGTAAATTTTTTATTAATTTTAAGCTCGCCCCAAAATTTTATTTTTAGGTCCGAATATTTCTTTTAAGCCCGAACCCGATTTGACCCGAAATTTTAAATTAAAAAATATAAATTAAAAACATTTTTATAAAATAATAAAAATTAATATTTGCTTTGTTCTTGTAACAGATAAATTTTAATTTTTTTATAAGAGAAAATATTATTTTCTATGTTGTTTTTAGATTATATTTTCAAGCTCAGCCTAGCAGAGTTTTTTTTAAAAATATTTTTAAATTTCTTGAGCCACTATTATATAATATTATAAATATTTTTATATTGGTATTTATATTTATTAATTACTACAATAATACTAAACATATTGCATTTTATTTTATATAATAAAGAGTTATATATAATAAATTGATTATAAAAATTAACAGTCAATGCAACTAGTTTCTTGAAAAAATTCAACATTATAAAATTGTAAAAAATAATTGGATATATAATAAATGATTTTCATACAAAATTAATTGTTAAATATAATATAATAATATTTTGATAAATAATACTAAATGTAAATAGTTTTAATTTTCTTCCATGAATATAAATCATAAATATTTTTTCTATTATAAAATTTTCTTTAAAATAATCTAAAACTATCTAAATAAAATAGTCTATGAAATTATTTTTGAGAATCTGCGGGGTTTTATTTCTTATCTATTACGATAATAAGGGCTTGATTTCATCAATACGATTTTCTACAGTTGTTTCTTCTGAGTTATCTAATTATTTATATTAAATTTAATATATATATATATATACCTTAAGTTAAAATTCATATCTAAAGAAAATGTAGCCTAATATGAAGATCAACTGAAATTGAATTAATTGTAATTATATTTGAATAATCACTGCATAATTCAGTCATAAATATTTACAATATTAAGCTCGAGTAAAAATGTGTAATAAAATAATAAGCATTGCACGAATAAATTTTTATCTTAAATTAATTGAGGGGTGGAAATACCTTTATACATTTTTGGCATATAAACGACTATAGCTAAAGCTAAAATAGTTGCGATGGAAGGGAAGAATGTCATAATGTAGCGGAAATAATCGCCGCACAGGGTTATATCCCTAAAATTTTATGGATATATATATAAATAAAAATATTTATTATTGCATAATTTATATAACATATACTAAGATAAAATATTACATTTATGACTTTTTCTTCCAGAAAGTATTTATATTTTTCAAAATGATTATCAGAGACCTGCAGAGGTACCATTTGTACGACACGGTCCGAATTTTTTTTTTAAAAAAAAATTTCCGATATGGCCCGGGTATTATATTTTCAGGCCCGACCCGAATTTTTTTTAAATATATTACATTTATTTTTAATTTTAATAGCTAATGATGGCGTTTTAAAATAAACGACCCGGCCCGGGTATTTTAAAAAAATTAAAATATGGCCCGGCCCTAAGAAGGTCTCTGATGTTAAATTTAAATTCTATGAAGTGCAAATCAGATATAATTTTGTCTGTTTAAAATGAGGAAGGTGAGTGAACCAAATCATACCAAAAATGAACGTAATTAAAAAAAAAATTTAAAACATTTCTATGGAGAGTTATTAATAGCTAATTTGTTTTCTTTTTTTCAGTAAACTTAAACAAAATTTATTTTATAACCCTAAACTCAAATTTCGTAAAAAAAAATTTGTATTGTATAGAATTTTTAACTTCTAATATGAATAGCTAATTCAAGGGGGGTGAATTAAAGAAAAATATAAGTGATAGATACTTATTATCTGCACAACCAAATAGTACAAAAATATTATGTCAATTATTTTTAATAACTTGAATGGGTAAAAATTTTGCAACAACAAAATAGCAAGTCCATTCGATATCTTATCTACCAAGCTCATGGAACCGTAAATGAATGAGCTTGTGGCCTTTGAACGCGATTGAATATATTAAATTTAAAAAAAATCATTTTTCGCAAATGATATTGCTTTTAAAGGTTGTCGCCGGATTATATTTACAAATATTATTTTTGATGAATTGACGCCAACGTTTTAGCCAAAATTAGGATTCAAATGAAGGGGGGGGGGGGTAAATAAATATCAACTCTATACATAAGGTTTAATTAAAATTTTAGATTAAATTTTGAATCATAATTGTTTATAAAGGTGCTCGAAAGATCAAACTGACATTTTTATAAAAATATATTTTATATAAATAATAATATTTGTAGGGATGTACCGGTATTTCACCCATTTTAAAATATCGGTTATCTGCCAATATTATAAAATATTCCGATCTGATCCGATATAAAAGGGTGTCTTTAACAAAAATAAAATGTTATAAAATTTAAAAAAAAGTTATATCTAAAATCATTTATTTTTATAAATAAAATCGAAATCCATTTTTATGTATATTTTTTTATTAATAATAATTAATTAATAAACATTCTGCCATATTGTTATTTTTTTGTGCATTCTGTTTATAAAAGTGTGCGATAATCTTTTCAGAATCAGTTTTTAGTGAAGATAGTGATATTGACAGTTACCTCGCCGCAGGCTGACCTCTGATAAATTGGAAATTTTAGTATTTCTATAGAGAAATCTTCGATATATTAATGTTAAATATTATTTTAAATATTTATTTCAAATTTCATATATATTTATTTATTACTTATTATGTATATAGATTATATTACTTATAATAAAAGGTAATTTACCAATAAAAATATTTTATATACTTTTAGAATTGCAATTGAATTGAATATAAACTATAACTGATCATTATAATATATTTAAATGACATAAGTTTTGGTATTGTTAAAAAATTACTAATAAAAAGTATAATAAAAATTAAAACCATTGGTATCTTTACAGAATACAAAATTAGATATGATATCGGATCGGTAATCGGCCGATATCAATTTAATATTGGAAAGATCGGATCGGCATCCAAAAAGTGTAATCGGTACACCCCTAAATATTTGTATAAAATTTCAGAGTAGAAACCATACTACATATGAATGCAATTTCTATAGTTCGACGAGAAACTTTTACCTTTTATTTAACAAAAATACAAAATTTACTCTATAACTATACTTCATTTTCTTGTCATATTTTTTTTTAAATTTAATTAATAACCATATAAAAGAAAAAAAGTTATACAATAAATAAAATTTTTTATTACAACTCACAATATTAGATCCTATAAGGTCCGCTGTCAATGAAAGAGAGACTATAATTAGAGTTGAAGTAGCTGCACCCAGACAGGGTGCAATGATATAAATTTTTGTTCCAAGGTTTTGGAACCACATACACATACAAGAAACTATTAAAAGGATTGTTCCTAAGGCGTATACAATCTAAATAAATCCATTTTGTTTGAGTGATTAAGGATATAACTTTTTAAAAATAATATATAGCATTTTAATTTTTTAGCTTTTGTTTCTTCAAAATTATTCATTCCTTTTCCAGTCATTTAAAAAACATACTAGATAAAATTTTCACTAACCTAAAAAAAACACGTTTTAACCAGTGGTGTATTGCTTAAAAAACTTAGAGAAGCAGGGAGCGGGCTACAATTTTTTTAATATATTTTCAAAAAGAAATTTAATACCACTGATACCTTTAAAATTAAATATAAATTTAATTTAAAACCATTATCTTTCATTACTAGTTTTCTTTGGGCTGTATTTTTTTTGAAAAGATTTCATTCGTCCCGCGATATTTCTTTTTCCATATTTTATATTTTGATATATGAATCTGGAATTCACTTAGTTATCTAAGGTCCATTAATATTTAATAACATTAAAATTAATAAATTATTTATTCTTAAACTCGCTCGTATCTGCCATGATCAAATTCTTAAGAAAAGGTGGGAATTTTTTAGATTTTAAATTAGGAAAAAGTCCAGCAATCGTTTCATATTTATTTAATTTGAATCTTTGGCAGATTCTCTTTTTTTCGTCAAATCGTGCATCTAGGTTCATAAGCCACAATTATATTTATGAATAAAGAATATATCAGAACACTAAAATAAATAATTTTATTAAAATTTATTCAAGTCATACCCTAAGTTTTCAAAGTTATCTATTAGACGGGACTGCATGAAGCTTTCTATAGAAATTATAAATTGGTCTATTTTAACGTACTAGTTTAAAATTTTTTAATGACATATTTAAATGTAAGTTTAATTTTTAAATCGAGCAACATCTGTAAATACCGGAGTTATATTGTCCATAAAAAATTGAAGAAAGCAATTTTTCTAATATGTTTAAACGTAATTTTATTCTTTACATCTCTACAGTAGAAATTAATATTTAAGAAAAAAATCATTTAGTTTTTAATTAATGAGAAATTTAAAAAAATGAAAATTTAAATTTTATGAAAAACACCCGGGGTAGCTATTATCCTTTCACGTTATGTGTCATAGCGCTTCTTTATTTTAGATTTTTAAAAAAAATTTATATAAAAGTGTTGATTCTAAGTAAATAAATAAAAATAAATTGTCAAATATGTTAAATTTATTAGGGTTCATCTATATCACATATGTCACCCGGAAGTACTTGTTGTCACTTAAATCTGTTATATAATTACAAAAAATAAGTCAATCATCTTCATATTGTCACTAGTGGTCCTAGACAAACTAGTGGCTTCTAATGTTTTTATAAATTTAGTTCGATTTTTTTTATTCAAAATAATCCCTACTTAAAAATAGCTAATACGCACCCCGCCAAAACCTGCCCCAGGTCTTCACCATTAATTAAAATATAATTTTAAGATATTAAATTACCATAAATAGTGTCAATATTTTTATATATGATAAAATATATATTTTTTTATCATTTAGAATTAATATTAAGTCCAAACAACGTTTATAAATAAAGTTATTAGTGAAAATGTAAAATTTTAAAAAGTTTCTTTGGATATGTTGAAATTTAAATTTGCATTTAAAATTTTTCATGAGCAATTTTGTCCGAAACATTTTTGGACCCACTTAAGCACCTTATTAAAATACATATTTGGCTTAAATTTCAAAACTTTCTATTAATTTTTAAATTATTCGAGAAGGAAATACCTACCCCGGGAACACACTACCGGTCTCCCCTATATATTTAATATTATTTTTTAATTTTTTTAAATATCAGTCAATTAATAAAAAAAAATGATTCACTGGTAAAAGGAACCCAAAGAACTTAATAAAAAAAAAATAATATTTAATGATTATATTTTCAAAAAATTTTTTTTACCTTTTATTATCCTGAAAAATTTTAGTATAATCTATAAAAAATATCGAAATGAGAGAAATCAAATTTTTATTTTCGATAATAATAAAATAATGAAAACGAAACATTTTGATTCCTCTATCTTTAATGTGGCTAAAATAAATTATTTCTATTTTGATTATATAAAATTTTAATAGAGAAAAATTTTGAAAAAATATTAAAATTTATTGGGGCGACAGCTCAGCCCCTCCCAATATTTGAAAAATAGGCTAAAAAAATTAGCGACGTCCCCGCTCGCATACACCCCTGGTTTTAACATGTACATAAATAATTTTTGCTGTCAAATTTTTATTATTCATAAAACATTTATATTAGGTTTATATTTAAAATACTTTTCTTCCAAGCAATATATTCAGTCGTTTCATACATAAAGCCGTTACAAATCCACTTATGTATATGACTAGAGGTATGAGAGCTATGCAAGTCTACAAATATATAGAATATTGGAGAATATTGGCCTTTCCATTTATATTGTTTTTTTCTTATTAATTTAATCATTTGCTAATTTTTTCATTGATATAAATATAAATATTACAAGATATAAAGTTATTACTTATATGCGCCAATTTTATATTAATATATTATATGATCGTTAAAAAAAATGCATTATGAACCAAAATATTTTTAAGACTATTTAATATAAAACTTACTTTGTCCAATTTCTGAGTTTCTAAGAGGTATAAGGGTATGTAAACCATGGAAATATTACTAGATAAGCGTGTGAGCATGTATACGGCCGAGTTCTGTGAAATAAAAATTTATCATTAATATTTTCTTTCGCATATTTTATATAGCCTAAAATTTAAAATGTGACCAACTCATAAAATCTTCCTGAAAAATATATTGTTTTAACACTACTAAAACCATTAAAAATTAGGCAAAAAATATTTCTCTAATCCGAAAAGAAACATTTTAATTTCTGTTAAATATTTTTTTTAATCAATACTTTTTGTAATATTATAATTTTTTTTAAACCAATCTTAAAAGGTGTATATGTAGAACCTAATTACAAATATTTTTTCAAAATATTTAAAAAAAATAATATATATTATATAAACGACCTGATAAAATAATCTAATCTTCAGCCAGCCTCTCCAGCCAGGGATTTTTCTTTTTACGTGATCATCTATTTTTTGAATACATTCATCAGATGATATGTCATTGATAGAAATATCTTTGAATGAATTCGATTCGAAAGATGATCCACTATTTTGGGCATCATTTACTTTATCTCTATCTCTTTCTGGATGGATAGGAGATTTTTCGTTGAAATTAAACCCGTTTGGTTCTTTTGTCATGAGGTGAAAAATTAACGAGGATATGATGCCTAGCCCGATTACACTGAATACTATTTTCTAATACATATTATATTCTTACATTTATTTAAAACAGTTTAAAAAATATTCAAAAATTTTTTGTTTGAAGAACAGATATTTCTTAAGAAATTTTACCTACAAATTCCGAAAATAATTTTAAAAAATCTTTTCTAACTAAGTAAATCTTTTGTTATTTTCATGCATAAATATGTTTCACCCCAACTTAAGTTTTCTTTTAAATAAAAATCTATATCAGAAAAATGATTGTAAACTTCAAACGCGAATATATTTTTGGGAGTTATTTTATCATCTGCTTTGGAGATCGAAATTTTATCGGAATGCAAAAAATACCATGATATAGTGTAGGTGAGGATGTAAGCCGATACTGAAAATGCATATCTGTAAAAAATATACTTTTAAAAAGAACGTGGGCCTATTTAGTATAAATATTATAATTTAATAAGCCATTACTGTGTAATAAAAAGATTATTAAATAACTCCATGTCAAATGAACAAAAAAACGGATTTTCGGCAGTCCCCTTTCAATTTTAATAAAAAATATATGTAAAAATGCGATGACACATTTTTGTATTTGTTAAAAACTGGATTAAAAAGGCTGATGAAAACCATAAAGATGAGGCTTACTTATCTTAGTTATATTACCTTAATTCTCGAAATCTAGAAGAGACCTCATTTGCAAAATATATTTTTAGGTAGACGCACCATGGGGCCATTGGATTTTTTAAAACCAAAGGGCAACGCTATTATATTACAAGGTGATAACCCCGTGGTACAAAAGATATGGGCTCGATTATTTGAAATAAAAAAAGAAATGGACAAAAGAAAATATAATAACAACAATTTATAAATTAAGTAAAATTAATTTAGATAATGGGGTAGTGATCATTAGGCATAACGATCATATAAAACTGAGATCTTATAGCCTAATATATATGGGTATTCTTAAACCCACATATCTAATTAATTATTAATGATATGATAAATAAATGTGAACATGTAACTTGTAAAGTAACAAATGTAAGTTATAAATCAAAGAAATTTTATTAATAAAATTTGAATAAAAAAAGTAGACACATGAGTATATTAATGTGAATAAAGCCAAAACAAAGAAACCTAATTAATTATTGGCTTTAAATGAATTTGATGATAAGTTAGTCATAAACAAAGGACAATAGATGGTGAAGATGTTAATTGTAAAATCACGTGTTAAGATTGACTTATTAAAGAAATGTTAAATTTTATCATAGGGGGTAATAATTTAAAAAATAACTGTCATTAATAAAATTGATAATTTAATAGACCTATGGGTGTGATTGTTATAATTTAAAAGAATATTTTATTATAATGATAAAATTTATTCTTTATTGTTTATGATATGGTGTAATAAAAAAATTGTTTTTTTTGAAAGTTATCATATGCATTATTAGAAAAAAAACATATGTATATGTAAATAATTACAATATGTGATGGTATGTAAATTTACTATAAAAATTTTATTTTAAATAAACTTATAAAATTAATTTTAAAAAAATTAATTATAAATTTCAAGTTTTAAAAAAAAAAATTTTTTTTGTTTAAATTTTTGTGATGGAGACACAGTCTCAACTTATTAGTTTTAAAACTTGTTCAAATTACGATCATTACTAAAGATGTTGGTATTAAATTCGATGCTCAAAATTCTTTAGAAGGAATTACAAGATTCAACCATGTCCCAGAAGTACGAAAAAGAAGATGCTTTAAATGTAATGCCGACGATCATTTGATGCATCAGTGCAATGCTGGGGTACCATACCAACACAAAATAAAGAAGAGTAAAAAATTGTCCAAAGTGTCTACTTTGTTTTTTTTAATTCTAATTTTATTAATAAACTTCTTTGAGTTATAACTTACATTTGTTACTTTACAAGCAACATATTCACATTTAATTATCATATCATAAACAATTAATTAGATCTGTTTTAAAAATACCCATATATGTTAGGTTTTAAGATCACAATTTTATATGATCGTTATGCCTAATAATCACTACCCCATTATCTAAATTAATTTTACTTAATTTATAACCAATTGTTGTTATTATATTTACTTTTGCCCATTTCTCTTTTTATTTCAAATAATCGAGCCCATATCTTTTGTCCCAAGGGAAACTTTTTATTTATGCTATCACCTTGTAATATAATAGCGTTGCCCTTTGGTTTTAAAAAATCCAATGGCCCCCTGGTGCGTCTACCTAAAAATATCTGAAAATGAGGTCCCTTCTCGATTTCGAGAATTAAGGTAATATAACTGAACAAGTAAACCTCATCTTTATGGTTTCCAGCCTTTTTAATCCAGTTTTTAAAATCATCCTTTCAGCTTGTCCATTCGAGCTGGGGTGATATAGTGGAACAAAAATATGTTTTGTCTGTGACTCAGCACAAAACTGTTTAAAATCATCACTTATGAAGGCTGGACCTCCATCAGATACTATCGTATAAGGTAAACCAAATCAGGCATATAATTCTCTTAATTTTTTTAACAACAATTTTTGTGGTATAACCATGCACTTCTGCATATTCTATTCATTTTGAATAAGAATCTACATCAAAAAATTTTGTCTAGATCGAAGAAATCGATGTGGAGACGTTCCCACTGTTTCTTTGATTTGGGTCAAACCTGCCATGGAACACATTTCCTTGTAATTTTTTCAATATCATTGCTCATACCATGCCACCATTCATATTCACAAGCCCTGGATTTCATTTTATCCCGACCCTGATGCCAGGCATGTAATAGATCAATAATTTCACCTCGTAATTTTAAAGGAATAACGGCTCTATTGCCTCGCATTAGACAATCATCCACCACGGGCAATTCTTTTTCGATTTTTTTTATAAATTTTACAATTATTTTTCCACTGTTTTTTTCCGGTTAAAAATAATTTGTTCAATTCTTTATCTTTTGTATTGAATTTAATATCTTCCCAATTAGTAGGACCACCTTTAAGCATATGGGATAAAGAACAAATCAATGCCGTTTCTTTATCTACTGATAAGTATTGAATTGTTGTTTGTTATTTTTGTAAAATGTTTATTTTCATTATTATAGATTATCATATGAATAACAAAAAATTATATTATTATATTGAGATAAAATAAAATGGCGAAAATTCTATAACTACAAAAAATACAATACAAAAGATTTCTATATTTCCATAATTATTAAAGAAAGACACTACAAAAATGGCGCAATCGATAAAAAGTTTAACGGATTCAAACTTGTGTTAAAAGATTGGTACGAATTATTTAAAGAATTTAAAAACACACAACCAAGGTTAACATCATCACAAGAAAAATCCCTGTTATTAACAACAATAGGATGTGATACTTATAAAATATTGGTAAATTTATGCGCACCAGATAGTCCAGGAAATAAAGAGGTATTAGAAATACATAACATTTTACTCAAATTTTTTCATCCTACTCCTAATATAATTGTAGAAAGATATAATTTTTATCAATATAATCAAAAAAAATGAGGAAATATTAATAGACTATATCCAAAATCTTCGAAAATTAGCAACGACTTGTGAGTTTGGAGAATATTAAAATACTGCATTAAGAGATAAATTTATATTCGGAATAAAAAATCCTCAAATTTTACAAAGATTATTATCTGAAGATGATATAGACATAAATAAAGCTATTCAAATAGCTACTGCAGTAGAAACAGCTATAAAAAATACAAAATGATGAAACTAGAATCGATCAGTTAGAAGAGGAACTTAATGATAATATAAATAAAATTTAAAAAGTTAATAATCATAATGATAAACAATCCAAACAATCTAAGTCATATAATAATTATAATATGAGCTACAAAAAACCAAATCTCTGCCACTCCTGCGGCGAAAATCATAGAAGGGAAAATTTATTTTTCAAGAATGCCACTTCTTATAAATGTAACAAAATTAGGCACATTGCTCGAGCCTGTAGAAAAGAAATAGTGAATTTTATTAATAATAAAACAAACGAATATAATCCAGAATTTTGGGTGCATGTTAAAATAAACAGCGATATCAGAATGGAATTAGATACTGGAGTTGGGGTAAGCATAATTAACGAAATAGATTGGATAAATAAACTAAATTGTCCTGGATTCACTTGCATGCTAAAACTAAAAGCTATACAGGAACCAATATACCACTATTAGTTCAGACTGTAGTAAAAGTACAATATAAAGGACGAACTTTAGAACTACCTCTCATATTACAAAAGGATATACCAAAAATCTCATTGGAAGAAACTGGATAACTAAATTTCCCAAAATGACTGAAATACCTGAAAGGACCATACAAATAAATAACATTAATATATAAAATGAATTTACTTAATTAATTACCAAAGAAATGTGCTGATTGAAAGATTTTAAGGCGAGTAATAGAAAAATTAATCATTCACTTTATGCATCACCCATAGTAATTGTTCAAAAGAAAGATAAAACATTACGAATTTACGGGGATTTTAAAAGAACTATAAATCAGAATATTAATATTGATTCATACCCAATACCAAGAATCCAAGATTTATTAGCCAAGTTTGGTAGAAGGAGAGGAATTTTCAATATTGGATCTCTCAGATATTTTCAAATTAAAGTGGGGGAAGTGTCTCAAAAATATCTTGTAATCAATATAAATGGAGGATTATTTAAATATACAAGACTACCTTTTGGTATATCGTCTTCTCCAGCTATATTTCAACGAGCTATCGAGAATTTATTAAAAGGTTTTGAAGGAGTAGCTTGTTATTTAGATGATATTATAATAACAGGGAAAAATAGAGAGAAGCACGAAACAAATTTAATAAAGGTACTAAAATGTCTAGATGAAAATGGAATCAAGCTAAAAATAGAAAAATGTAAATTTTTCAAACAAAATGTCGAGTACTTAGGACACAATATTTCAAAAAACGGGATTACAATTACCGAAAAAAATACTGAGGCAGTAAAAAAAGTACCAGAACCAACAAACTTGAAACAATTACTGTCATTTCTAGGGTCAGCAACATACTATTCAAAATTTATTTAAAATTTTGCAACTTAGAAAAACAGTTGCTTGGAAATGGACTAATGAATGCAAAGACGCGTATAAAAAAAATAAAGCAAGAAATAAGTAGTACCCCTATATTATAACATTATGATCCAAAATTACCCATTATATAGCAACAGATGCGTCAGCCATAGGAATTGGGGCAGTAATATCACATATAGAGGGGATAAGGAGATACCAATTGCATTCGCCTCACGCTAAATGCAGCCGAGAAAAATTATAGCCAAATAGAAATAAAAGCTCTTGCCATTATATTTGGGATTACAAAATTCAAAGAATTTATATATAGAAA